CACGGTAGTATAGATTGTTTCTAAAGTATCACAACCCTCTGTATGCCTATGACATTTGAAAAACTTATGTACATGATGTTACCTAACAAATGTGCTTAAAATGTCATTAAATTAATTCAAATAGTCCCTGCTATGGTCTAACAAAGACCGGCTCCAGCTGACAGTTCACACTGCTGACGTCACCAAACCGGGCTAACAATTCGAAAATGCAGCATTTCTGATATTTTTTTTAAGCAAAAAAAAAAAAAAAAAAATTTAATTCAAAAAAAAAAAAAATTGTCGGCACACCTACCCTTAAAATGGTTTTACTTAAGAAAAACGAAAGAAAAAAAAAACAGTGCTTCTTCTTCTTCTTATTCGATCCTTCTGTCAGAAATCCTATATCAAGAGGCCGGCAGCCTTTATGAAAGCTATCGTGCAATCCATATTCTCTCGTATGCCATACAGTTTTGTCTTCATTGTGGTTGGAACAGGCCAGAATGCGTCTCTGTTGTCAGCATACAGTTGACAGTTTTGGAGCACATGCTCAGCATTTTCGTGTACCACGCTGCAGGGACACGTCTCAGTATTTCCTACACCGAAAAATGTGAACATATGTTGACGAAATCTGTAGTGCCCAGTCCTTAGTCTGAATATAATACACCGTCCCTCTCTAGAGAAGCGATAAAGTGAGTCTTGGGAGAAAATCTGGTGTGGGTATCCAGCCACCTTTCTTGGATACTAGATTGTATTAATTTCGTCTACAAAGGGCTAAGTAAATCAGGGGTTTGCGTAAAGAAAAAAAATGAGTGTCTTTTGGTAAAATTGGGGGAGAAGGCGTGCATCGCGAAAGCCCCCTCTCCCATTTTGCTTTTGCCTTAAAAAAAAGCCCCCCCCTACAAAAAAATAATATCTTTCCACGCCAGATTTGGATTTGGTTATACGTGGTTCACCAAAAGAGAAAAAGGGGGAAAAAAAAAAAAAAACAAAAAAAAAAAAAAAACAGGAAATGAAAAAAAAATCGGGGCATTTAAAAAGGGGGCTGCACATTTTTTTAAAGGGGGCCCTTTAAAGCCAAGCGGCTACCCGGACGGGCCAATGAAACTTTTTTTTGGACCTTGACTTTTTGGGCAAAATGGGGGGGTGGTTGGGGGGGTGGGGGGGGGGGGGGGGGGGGGGGGTGGGGGGGGGGGTGTGGGGGGGGGGGGGGGGGTTTTTTGGGGGGGGGGGGGTTGGGGGTTTTGTTTTTTGGTTTTGGGGGGGGGGGTTTTTGGGTTTTTTTTGGGGGGGGTTTTTTGGGGGGTTTGGGGTTTTTTTTTTTTTTTTGGGGGGGGGGGGTTTTTTGTTGGGGAAAAGGGTGGGGGGGGGGGGTTTTGGTGGGGGGGGTTTTGGGGGGGGGGGGGGGGGGGGGGGGGGGGGGGGGGTTTGGGGGGGGGGGGGGGGGGGTTTTGGGGGGTGGGGGGGGGGGGGGTTGGGGAAAAGGGGGGGGGGGGGGGGGTTGGGGGGGGGGGGGGGGTGCCCTGTTGGGGGGGTTTTGGGGGGGGGGTTTTTTTTTTTTTTTTTTTGTTTGGGGGGGGGGGGGGGGGGGGGTAAAATTTTAAAAAAAAACCCGGGCCCCTAGCCCCAACCTCGGTTTAAAGCAAGAGGCCCTTTTTCAGGGAATTTTAAAATTTGTAAGGGAGTTGGGTTAATTTGATTTGCTTCAAATTTTTTGTTTGGGGGAACTTTGGGTTTTTTTCATTAACCCTCGCCCCTTTAATTTTTAAAAATTTTATGTACTTTTTTTGACAAAATTTTTCAAGTGCAATGTGTGTTTTCCCGTTCCCCCTTTTTTTCCTTTTCCTCTTTTGGGCAATTAAAGTTGCCCCTTTCACTTTTTTCCAATACTTTTGGAATATTTTGGGAGGGGTTTGGTTTTTTTTTCCCCCTTTTTTACAATTTTTTGTTTTGGTTTTGGGGTTTTTTTTTTTTTCCCTTTTTTTTTTTTTTTTCCCCCCCCTTTTTTGGGGTTTTTTCCTTTTTCTTTTTACCCCAAATTTTTTTAAACAACTTCTTTTTCTCTTCCCCTTTTTTTTTTTTTTTTTTTTTTCCTTTAAACTTTTTTTTCCTTTTTTTTCCTTTTTTTTTCTTTTTCTCCTTTTTCCTTCCTTTTTTTCCCCTTTCTTTTCCTTCCCATTTCTTTTCTTCTTTTTTTCCTTTTTTTCATTTTTTTTTTTTCGTTTTTTTTTTCCCCTTGTTTTTTTTTTCCCCCTTTTTTTACT